AGCCTCCATGTTTGTGTCACCTGGTCTCTGACTTTCCACTGACGAACACGCTGAGTCACAGAGAGAGGAGACCGAACATCATGTCTGCATTTGTTTAGTTTGTTACATCTGTTGTTGTCTCACTCTTTAAATCACAGGAAGACCACGGAGGAATGAAGGTTGAATCTGCAGTTGTATACTAACAAATATCTGAAACTTGTAATAAATCAGCTGAAGAGGGCGGGTACAGCAGTCGGCACTAAGATAGAGATCTCATAAAAGCATCACTGTTGATTTATGTTGACACTTCAACAACTAGGTCTAGAAAGGCCGTGGTGCAGGCCCGGCTTTAGACTGCTTTGATTGGGGGGTGGGTGCATAAACCCTGCATTAATTGGGTGTTGGACACATCGTTAAAACGAGTTTTTCGAGTCGAAAAATGCACACGAGCGCCTCAAGTCCGAACAACAAGTCAGAAATTTGAGGATTCGATGCCCAACATGACATCATAATCACATTGGGTGAAATATGTTTCGATAATGTGAAGAGATTTTTTATTAATTCACGTAATACACATCATATTTGGCTCAAATATAACAGAAACATTCCACACATCTTCTTCCTAGCATCCACGTTGTTTGTGATATTGTTACAATATTGCAATGTTGGACCAGGACCAGGAGCACCTGATGCAGCATCAGTCATGGTGACTGGTCACTCACTGCTAGACAAAGAGAGAGGGAGGGAGCAGGAGGGAGAGAAAATAAGAGAACGAGAGACCTCTAGAGGAATCAAAGCATGTGGTGGAGGAACTACTAAAAACTTACTCTGTTTTTTAATGCAGAAATATGCCCCTATGGTGCAATGTAAAACTGAAGTTAACAAACACAAATGCAGCAAAAAAGGTAACTACTACAGAATGTGAGCAAAGTGGGTGCAGCATCTGTGATCTGTGTGAAGTAAGGTAACTTATCTCCTGCCCACATATAGAGTCAGGCTGCCATGGAGTCAATGTAACCAGACATACATCATTAGCTTAAAATGTTAATAATCAATTAAAAAAAACCTTAAATACATCAAATTGGTAAAGAAAGAATGAAGTTCAAAACTCTTATAAAGGGAGAACATCGCAAAACTAAATTAATAATCAAATTCTACTTTAATGTCCCCGCAGGGAAATCTGTCTTGGACTCGGTCCTGCAGTCACAAAGTAAAGTATTCCACATCCACAGAATCTTCAAAACGAGGTAATTCTCCTTGTATCTGTGACTACAATAACTTATAAACATCACTGCTGATATATAATTAAATTAGTAGTTAAACCTTGGAAAAGTATGAAACTCATGGACCCCTAGTGGCCAAAAGAACAATAAGGAGAACACTGTTTGCCTCATTGATCTGTCCACAAACAGTCAAGACAACTGTTATGGTCATTTAAGTCTAAACTGCTCATCACTGTTTTTTGTGTTTTTTTTGTTTTTTTTTAATGGAATGATTTAAGAATAAAATATTGACACATTCAGAAAAAATCATAGACCAATAGTCCAGAGGGATTTTTCTATCAAACACTGTAAAATATGAAACCAGTCTAAATGACGTCCTAGGTAGTTCTTGTCAAAAGCACTTTATCGTTTTATCTTGATGCATGTGGCAAAATGAAGCAATTACAATAATCAATAGCACCTCATGATAAAACATGTAATTGTATAGAGTTAGGGAGGATTACTGGAGCGGCATGTTGTTTGATCTGAAGTCTGAAAAGGTTATGTTTGCTTAAGCATAGTTATTAAAGGTGGTGAAAACAGGATGTGGTTAATGCGTGAATGACATCTTCCTGGTTCTTATGACACAGAAAGGGAAAGAAGAGATTTTGCATATGTTTGAAATAAGGCTTATCTTAACTGACTGATCAACATTGATAATTCTTATCAAAAGTGTGATGAGCCGGAATTTGTGATACAACATCCAGATTGAACCTCACTGTTGTTATTGTGGTCAGATGAAGGACGTTCCTGCAGCCAGGATTCCTAATCTGTTGTAAACATTCCCAAGAGAGAAGAGACCGAACTAACCTCAGCAACCACATGTAAGTGCAATATTTTGCTGTCCAATTATTTTGTTGTTTAGTTTATGTAGCACCTCTGAAAACAGCCCACTAGAGGGAGCTGTTGCATTGTGAACGCTGGGGTAAGCGTCTCAAGAGGACTGTGAAGAAATGTCAAACAGCGTTTGAAACTGGTTTTCTATTTCACGTGAAATATTTACTTTAATCCACAGAGACTGTTCATATTCTGTTAATGCTGCTGCCTTCTTTCCAACATGTTCTTATGTCAAACATTTGCTTCAATGTCAGGATTTTAATGAACCATTCCCCTACCCTCCACAGATTTCCAGACACTTATATCCTTATTTATTGTTAGTTTGGAGTCTATAATCCACCTGAACTGTGGAAGGCTGCGGGGCTGGCATGACATCCAGCCAACATGGAGAGAAAATGCAAACATAGTAGAGGACAGGATCAAACCAAGAAATTTCTCCATAGGAGGGAGGAACCTGTTTAAAGAGCTAAACCAGCAACAAGCAAACAAAAAAAAAGATTTGCATCAATTCTGTAGAATGTTGAATGCAAGTAGAAAACTCTTGTTTGACTTGTAAAATGTGTCAATGAAAATGAGAGGGAAGATGAGAACATCAATGAATGGAAGCTGCAGGAAGCTGCATTAATGGGGCAACAATATAAAAGATTGAAAACATTCAAACTGGAAATATGAAACTACAGGTTCTGATCCAAAAATAGTAGAACCAGCAGTTAGGCAGGTTTGTTGTAAAGATGAGGACCCTGAAGAGATATCTGCAATCGACTGCCTCTCCACCAGAACACAGACGAGCATTGAGCAGCAGCTGGTGGTGTTACCTTCTCACCCTGGTTGTATCAGGTCACTGCCATTAGCTCACACTTACTACTGTCCAATCCTGTCGTCTGCTCGGAGGTAACAGAGCCGTCTCTGTGTTCTCTCATCCTCGTGTTAAGTCTGCTTTGGTCCTGTACAGAGACTAACTGGAACTTTCCCCCGGTGGAGTTGGGAGGTTTTACTCTGTGCCGTGACCTTTTTCACATCCTGCTCAGGAGTTCTCTGTTGTGGTTTCAGCTTGCATGTGTGGCTGTAATGATGCCTGCGTGTCTGAGTGCAGAAGCTCATTTGTGTTGTTTTTATGAAGTATTTTTTAACCAAAGCTTCATATTGCATGCTTTCGTTCCTGTCTATGAGGGTCTTTTTAGAACGCCAGCAGTGACTCTGACTTCTGGAGGTTTTTGTTTGGCCATCTTCTTCTTCCTTATTTTCTCCTCTTGTAAGTGTTTGTGCTGTAAGACCTAAACTTACCGAAATTAGTGGTAGGTAACAAAATTCATGCAATACTCAGGAACTTACAATGACACCCCAGTTCACATTTTAATTCTCAAATCTCAGAATGTCTCAAGTAATCTGCCTAAACACCTTTTCCTGCTATTGTCGTCTCTTCTTGAACTATTGGGCTAACTCTGCTCATCTCTTGTAGTCTGATTCTAATATACAAGCATTTAAACTTTGATCAAAATGGCCTCAAATGTAGTCATGTGAAACAGATGAAGGTCAACAAAGGTCATGAGCTACATCAACAGTTTCTGAAAAGATTTATAAACCTCAACAGAGCACCAGCAGTCTATCAGATTCTATACTTCATGATAAATGAATCAGAAACAAGCATGATTATTGTCCACCTTTGTTGTGCATCATCAGTTATTGTTCACTCTGAGCTTTCTTATTCATGACATCTCTGTGGAGTAAAACAAATCTAATCAGTGATCTGCACGGGGTAAAACAAGTTTTCTTAATTATTCTTAAGTTCTATCAGGATTGATCAAAATTCTTACAGATTCATACATTATGGAATTATGTTTTGGACACTTTGAAAGCAAGTGTGCACAAAGAAAGTGTCATAAAAAATGATTTTTCCAGTTTCCTGAGGAAGAAGTTCACTGGCCATGACCTCAAGCCAATCTGACACTTTTGGGATGAACTGGAATGCTAACTGGGAGCCAGGCCTTATCTACAAACACTGGTACCTGACCTGACTGCCATCTGGCAGCAGATCTGTTCATAAAATATTGTGAAAAGACTTCCCAGAAGAGCGAGGGCAGCTGTAACAGCAGATTAATAGATCAGAAAATATTCAAACCATTGCACATTGTTTAAATGCTTCTGAATGCACACTTTAATTTTATCTTTGTTTATTCCAGCACTAACATGCACGACTTGGGGGTTATCTACGACCAGTTACTGCTCCGTACACTAAAACGTGAACCTGGAGGCAGCCGTCTATTGTATAAATTGTATCCTTGAAAATCAGCCCTGCATGTAAGATTCAAACAATGAGCCATTGTTAGATCGACTCGACTTCATTCTCAACATGTTACTGCTGTATAATTTAATTTAGAGTCCAGGCTTGCCATGGGCAGCATCATTAACAGCCTGCTTTTGCTGTAAATTAACTTGAATACAGTCAAGAGACTAGACTCCAGTCTCATGAGTGTTGCCCAACATTTTTATTTGTTTTCCCAGTAACCATGGCAATGTTGTGCCAGGCTTTGGGGAGGGAAAGAAAAAACCTAGTCTGTGAGCAGGACTACAGGCATTCAGCCTTTCTGACACTGACTCAGACAGAAGTATAGCAGAGGGGTTGGAGGGCGATGCTGCTGGAAAATATTTTTCAGCCGCTCCAGCTTCATTTTTATGCTTTTTTTTTATTTTCACAAGTGGCTTCAGCTCGGCTGGTTTCTGCAGTGCAGATGAATGAAATCAGGTTCCATGTATCTTCAGTGAATCACTACATTATTAGATTTGCTATGAGTCAGAATCACAAGATATTAAAAAGAAAAGGAATAAAAAAATCTACTGTTAACATTTGACCATAAGGAGAGACACATGCCAGTGATCACTTTTAGAAACTCGGGATAAAAATAAAAAGAAGGAACACATGCACACTGGATTATATTAAATTTTAATGTGCACAGCGTGATATTGAACAGTAAAAGCAAGGAAGGAAAATCAGTACTTATAAAAAAATATCACCTTTTGAGCTTAAAAACACTCACTTCAAAGAACAGGTGCTATAACATTACCATCCGTGTCAGGAGACAGTAGACTGAATGTGACGGAGTCGAAGCAAGCTTAGTGTCTCGATGAAACGTTACCCCTCCCAAATATCGCCACCCTCTAAAAAGTATACACTCAGCTGTCCCCTCACCAATCTCTGGTGTAGGAGGCAACAGGTTGATGCTGTTTAGCACCGTGTCCACAGTCACAAAGTAGGGCAGCAAAAGGGAAAAAGTAAGGGGGAGTTAAAAAACAAAACAAACACAAGTTGACAAAAGTGGGGAGGGTGCAAAATGATGACCAGATAACAACATTAAAATGCATCTAAAATCAAGCATTCAACCTCACATTGTGTTTATTCCAATGCATTAACCTGCGTAAGTACCACAGCTCGAAGAAAAATCTCCACACAAGCTTTTAGAGCGTGCAACAGTTAGCTTAAACTCTAACAGGAGATCTTTATTAGTGCTTTTCACTTAAAATACTTTCTGATAGATTAGTGCACTGGAATGCAACCATAGCTTTTTTTTAAATCTCAGCACAAACACCCATACAGTACATATAGGATATTAAAACAACAGTTTTGAAGTGAAGTTCTTCATATTCATAGTGTAGAAAATAAAAAAGCATTCACTATGCCACTACGGTGATGAGCATTTAAAAGCAGTGAATTATTAAATGTTCTGAAAATCAATGTTTGAGCAAAAAAAAAAAAAAAAAAAGGGATGCTAAATTGAAATGCTAACATTCTCTGTCTCACGCTTTCATAAAAATGAGGATAATGGTGAACAAAAAAAAAAGCTGATGTACAGAGCAAGTGAGCTGAGACGCAGACGGTTTCTGCATCGTGAGGCTGTGTGGCGGGCGTGGTGGTGGCGGACGGCGAGTTGCTGGCGAGGCGACGCAGGTGCATGCAGGAATGAGGGCAGGTTCAGTGTGTCAGACTGCTGGAAAAGCCGGGTAAAGAGGAGGGGTTGGTTTTTGTGGGATTGAGGTCACAGGGGGCAAAAGGAGGGCGTGCTGCGGCTGCTGCTGGGCTTTCTGGGTTGTTTTGTTTGTGCTGAGTCAGATAGAATTCGGCAGCGCTCGCTCATTCTCTCTGCTTTGACCTTCCCAACCCCGACATCCCACAATCCTGCCCCACCCAGCGGCTCAACCCCCCCCCCACAAATAAGCGCAAGGGATGACAGTGATACAGCCCGACATCCCCTCTTCACATAAAACAATAAAAGGGAGAAGCGCTCCACGAACATAGTGAAGAATGGAGGGAATTTACGTCATGTTGCAAAAATAACAGAAAACAGAAATGGAGCTTGGTTTCTTGGACAAAGATGGCAAAAAAAAAAAAGGAACACAAACAAAATAACAACAAAACCCCCAGAGATCGACCCTATGATTTTCCTGTGCCCACCCATTTGGTTACACCAACACTGGAGAGAAAAACAGCTGCAGAAAATAAAAGACGGGATCAGGTGCCAAGTGACCACGCCCATTCACTTCCAAACAAGCCCCGCCCAGCTCTGGAAAAGTCTCACCTCTCGTTTTCTCAGAGTTTATTTATTTTCTTTTCTGTTTTGACTTTTCCCTCCGTCTGTGTGGCTCTAGCCCTCCCATCCTCCCTCCCCTCTTTCTGTGAATCCTCCTCCTTCTCGTTGTGGATGCTACACCTCCTTGGTGGTGCGGATTCTGATGCTGCTGAAGCACTTGCCCATAGCCTCGAACAGCGGGTCGCAGAAGGTGTGCACGGCGATAGAGTAGACACGGCTGATGCAGTGGATCTCAATCAGGTAGCTCTTGACGCACGGCACCACGGCCCAGATGTGGATGAAGGACAGGATGGCGAAGAAGATTCCCCAGATGAGCGCCAGGGGGATGCCGACCAGCGCCGTCAGCAGCCGGTAGCACCAGTACTTGGTGACAGTGAAGGTGGTGAAGCTGGCTTTCCACACGCCGTCGAAGCTGTATGTCCCAGCAGGCTCAGCTATCACATCCTCAAAGTCCACCTTGAGAGGGAGGAAGGGGAGAAGTTAGATTAATGTTTCAAAATACTTCTGGAGGACTTATAAGTCTGTCTGTATAATTAGTTGGACCCATATCCTTTGGGCTTCAATCACATATGAATAAATATAAACAACATAAACCATAAAATGTAGAGGCTAACTTGTTGCAGGACTTGACCAACAAAGTAACATCAAACCAACAGCATTCAAACTCATTTTTTGATCACATGTTGGATTTTCTTCCATACTTCCATCATCTAATATCCCAATCAGCCATAAATAAAATGTACAAACAAATAACCTGGGATTTTTTAGAGCAAAATGCATAAAACACATCTTTATTCTTTAGCATGTGAAAATGTGAATTTGAAAATGTCTTATGGTGTCCATAACCAGTCATTCTTGAAAAGGAAATGTCTGACATGCAGGTTGTTCATTATTTCTTATTAATGAGACGCCTCATCAGACAGTATCCCTTATTTAACACCCTGCAGCCAAGCATAATTTGGTAGTTTAGTGAAAATAGAATACTGGATGCCAACACACTCCAAGAACCTGTACTTCTGAGTCTTAGGAGACAGTCAGCAGCACCAAATTCACAATGTACTAATCATAATGACTCAAACACATTCATCCACCACCAGCAGTATTTCACAAGAGTCCAGATGTGGTGCTAATGAATACACCACATGAACTTTATATCCAATCTGAACGTATTATTTCCTCATAAATCAGCTGTTTCACTCCCTGATAATGTTAGTGTGTCAGTTTGCAGAGATGGGAAAAATTACTGATTTATACCTCCCTTTGCACTGACTGGTACACAGTCTAACCACCAACCACCGGCCCCGCCCAAAACACTGATTGCTATACTCAATAATTCTGACAACTTTGCTTTCTGCAAATCTTCTCAAGAATTTGTTTTTATCCAGATGGATTTATAGATAGCGACACAGAGGGTAGACACAAATATCTTTCAGTCTCAGGAATGACGTTTAATTATATAAAATATGTCCAAAGTTAAAAGAATGAACAGATGGCTTCCTCAATTTTGACCCAAATGGACAAACTAAGTCCAAAGTTTCATCTCATCTTTAAACTATGACACCAGATGGACCAGATGTAGCACATAAAACTTTGTGAGGGCTCTATGTGCTTGGTGGTTAATGACACTGTTTGATATCTAAATAATTATCAGGCTAAGTCTACTTCCTCGAAGCTCTTACATCCGCTGTTATAAACACTCCCTGTGTGGTTATACATCTTCTTTTCTGAGGTGCTCAGGAAGAGATGTGTTTCACTTTTCAGGTTTTCGTGGAATAAACAGAAGGAAGACTGTACAATTAGTGTGACCAATGATGGCCACCATGACTGGACTGGACAAAAGAAACCCAAAGTTCTACAAGTGAAAATCAAAAGAAGAAGACATCCATGTGCCACCCAAAGTGTTCGATTGACATGTGATCTGCTTCTCTGTTTCCCTACCTTCTACAGTATTTAAACCAGGAAGAACATTGTGCCTATTTCACTGTAAACACATCCAACAGGTTTTTTTTTACATGAGGCAATCCCTAGAAATGTCTGAGACCTGACCAGTGCCGTTTAAGGAACTGAGAGAAAAGTGGCATCTCACACTCTGTAAATACAATGCAGACTCTACTATACTCTCTCATCCTCTGCACAGGCTTCTGAGCGCAGAGTCAATATTTATCTTACAGTTACTTGGAAACCGTGTCCTGCTAACAGAGAGGTCGGACTACTGAGGGCTAATGGGTGCAATACCCATAAGTCATGCAGATATTATCCAGGGTGACACTGTGGCATTAAAATGGAAAAGTCAAGTGTTTCGTTCTTCAGCGAGATAATAGCCACTGTTTGGAAGACGTGATGCCCCTTTACACAAACTGTCTGATGGGGCAAAAAAAAAAAAAACATTATGATTTACTCTTTCCATTTTAGAACTCTTAAAATGAAGATGGTTTTAAATGGTAATCTTAGTTTAAAGACTTCCGAAATTACATAAAAATAAACATTTAATCAAATCTATTTATAAAGCCTTAAAAGTAGAAAAGAGATATCAGACAATGGCCAATAAGCAACCTTAACTTGTATTTTTAATAAGTATATATTGTATAGTTTCTTTTCTAAAGTTAGATGTGGAGAATGAATGGTCTCATAATCCTCTGTTAGCTATCTAGCTTTGCTACATTAGCTTGCTAGCTAGCTAGCTTGGCTTTGTCAAAGGGTAACAAGAGCCTCTGAGTGGTGGCCATTAGCAAGCTTTAGCTAATTGGACTTTCCCATATGGAAACCCCCTTGGGGGTTGTGAGTAAGGTCAACATAACAGAAATCACTGAACAAACCATTCCTGAACATCATCCTGTATAGGTTACTAATAATAAAACATAATTTCCTTCAAGTCACAATCAAATCATTCATCATTGAAATACTACAAGGCTGGATTATAAAATCCATCTATAAGTAGAATATCGTTGAGTTAAATATAAATAAAGACAGGATATCAAGCGTTCCCTTCCTGGATACCTTATCTTGGACCAAAACTGTCAAACAAGGCTACTTTTCCCGTTCAAACAGCTTGTATGAGCAATTCTTTTAGCCTTAGCAGGAGCATAAAGCCTTTCACACGGCACAAACTGGCAGAGCTCACTACAACCTTATGAAACAAATCTGACTGAAGCCACAAAACCAGCATGCCGTCCATTTAACTTTTCCACAGCTACAAATTTGAAAGCCCACTCTGCTCCAGTTTCCAGAACTTTGAATGAGACTAAGTGAGAGCCTTCTGCAGTGACGCGCAAACACAACCATAGAGCTTGTGAAGAATTTCGACTGCACTTTGGTTCTTTTTCTATAAATCTACTAAAAAATGGTGCTTATGCAATACTCTAATTGAATTGTTAATATTTGGGTATTGGTTTTGATTCTTTATGGATGTGATGGATACCACAAAGAAACTTTAATTTACATCGATGGTACTTGAAGGCTTTGTCACGAGAGAACAAATAGATCAAACGGCAGGAATAGCAGGAAGTTTTGATTAAAGTAAGTATACTTCTGAAGAAATATTCACATTCACAACCTCATGGTTTGATGCTGAGTGAATAATGATGCCTAATGTATAACATTAAAAGTATTCAAACATCAAAAGTATGTGAACTTGTACTACTGCGGCCCAGTTCTGATGGGTCAAAGCGTGGGTGGACCTCTGTGGTCCAACCAGACATTTTTTTACATGAAACAAAGTCTTAGGGTCATCTTGTGACCAGTCGCCGTGGCAACTGTATTATTGAGTAAATATGGGGATGTGCTATTTTCAGAGCTCTGACTTCAGGCTGTCAACCATGCCTAAACAGACAAAGTGTGTCTCTGGAGGAGAAGATTAGAGTAAAGAGCATGTTAATGGACTCCTTTGCTGGTTTGAGGGTTTTGGTGGGCGGTCACAGGGGAAATGTTTGGTTTGATTCAAGAGACAGATTAGGGTGACTGGCAGCAGGGACAGCTTTGGCTTTTTTCACTTGTTTTAACAAGACTTTTTTACAGCAAAATGTTTTTAATTAAAGTGAATTCTTGATTCAGAAGTCAATCTACACCAATGTGTTCAGCAAGTTAGCCTGTTAGCTTAGCTTTATTAAAAAACAATGCTTTAGCAAATTCTCATACATAATAACACAAACCCCTAGTTCGATGTGTATCTAAGTATCATCATTTAAGTTTGACTGAGTTGTAAAAGAATTAATGAAAAAAACTAGCTTGGTTTCTTTTCTGTGGGATACAAATCCCTGATGTGTAAAATTTACATGACATGTGGTTGGAAACAAATCCCACTGCTGTGAGTCTCAGAGTTTTATGAGCATGAAAAGCCTCAAACATAAGGGGGAGTTTTTAGCATTCAGATGTGACTGAAATTGTGTGATGTGAGAGATGACTAGATAACAGTTATGATTAATCTATGTTCAAACTATCAACTCATATCAAGGTGTTCAAGTTAAATAATAAATCAGGACTCAACCAATCACAGGTGTAACATACATGAGGAAGTTTTCCATATATAGGACTCTAAATGAGCTGTCTGAGAAGTTCAAACTCGCAACTCCCTCTTAGAAATTGTCTGCAGCGGGGGCATTTCCAATCCACTGGCCCCTCCCCTCTGCTATATAAAGACCCACAGAGTCTCCAGAGGAAAAATCTCTCTTCACAGAACAAACTCCACATGCATGTCAGTAATGGAACTTGTTTGATGTGGCCCGGTGATTGAGGCCAGCTGCAGCAGGAGAACAGTGTGTGTTCCTCAGATTTGAAGAATGCACTGTGTGTGTCTTTGTGCTGAAGTTCACTACATACAGTACCTTCTGCACGCACAAAAGCATGTATGTGTGAGTGCTGTATGTGGGGGTGTGTTTGGTCATGGTGGAGGATTGCAGGATGGGGATTGCTGGAAGGGATTCCCTGCTTGGGCTTTTTCATTGGGGCACACCGAACACACGCTTCCACTTGGCAGAGCTGTTTCAATGACCTCAAAACACCTCAGAGCCGCTGTACACAGCACACTGTAAAAACTACAGGCTCATCATGGTTTACTCTCACATCCAGAGGGGGACAGTGAGCACATCTGGGTTCCAAGCAAAAGAAAATCAACCAAGAGGGTTTCTCTACATGTGTCAGACAGCCTAGTCTTGCATCAATTAGTGAGTTTATAAAAAAACCTTGTACTTGAAAATGTTTATTGTGTTTGAATTAATAAATTTCAAACTAATGCATTTCCTTGGAAAGTTTATTTTGTGCCTGCAATACGAAAGATTTTTCATATCAGACAGCACTTCCCCATAAAGTGGTGGCAGCACAAATGCCTGGCAGCCTTCAGAGCTTCTGTCGTCACACTGTTTCTCCTACACAAGTCAACATTGATGTTTTATGTTAGCCCAAACTACATGTTTAGTTATCTAAACTTGTAAAACAAAAACTGTTGCTGTTTGGTCAGGAATGCCGGTCAAGGTATCCAAACTATTTGATTGTGAAAGATGGTGCATGAGGGAAACTAAAAAGGAAGGAAGTTGATTCATGTTAAGATGACGTGACATCAGACCTCTGACTGCTGGGAAGCAGTCTTGGGTTTGTTGGAGCCATCCAAACCAGGCGACCTTAAGGCAGCACACCTCATACATGCTTTCATGTTAGAGGTTCGACATAAAGTACACCCCAAACTGAAATACATTAGGTGTGCAAGTCTTACATCTGACAGAAATAAATGAACGGTAACACGATTCTTCTTATCATAATTTTGTGACTATAACACAAACTTTCACAAGACTGAGTTTTGTAAGCATCTGCATAAAAATACTGTCAGAGATGGCCAGTCATCATCAATACTAATATTTTCTTATTATTCTAGAAGCATGATTGTGTTTGTGCCATTTTAACCTCAAAACTATTTAACGTCCTTTCAGCTAGCTTAATATTGAGTGCAAAATGTAACTTAATCTGAGACCAATAATCGCAGCTGTCATCAAATTCCTTGTATCTGAGCAGATGTACTTCCATATTTCAGTATTATACCCAAGTACTCGAGTAGATGTGTGTATTGACTTTTAGGCACTAGTCACAGGTTTTAAGTCTCTGAACAGTCCCTTTCTGCAGTTTTTTTTTTTTTTTAGATTATACTTTTTTTTTTACAGTGTACCCTCATGTGATTTCGGATAATTTCACCAGCAGTCTGTTGAGTTGATTAGAGAGAGGCAGGACAATCCTAAAGCTGTATTCTATTCTGAGACTCAGACTGGAAGGAGACTCTGACTCATGCTCACAATGGAGGAGAGAGAGAGCGAGAGTGCAGAGGGAGCTAAAGAAGTGGAGACGCAGAAGCAGAAAAAATGGAAAGGCAATGACTGAAGTTCACTTTTGAGCAGTCATCATTCTAAATCGCTGAACTGAAACTACTTGATGGCTGTATTGGAAGAAGGACCTGCTGCCTATAGACATGACTTGGATTTGAGAAAATATATTCTCTCCCTGACATAAAAAGGAATTCATCAAATGTGAAACACATCCTCATATCATATGAATCAGCATGTCACATGGGAACAATTTACTGGCACATGATGCTGTTCTTAAACATTTATTGCTTGATTAATTCTCATGTCATATATTTTTAGATATTCTTGTGATAAAGCCACATTTAGGTCTATGAGCTTCTTTGCACAGTCCTCATGTGATTAAAAGTCACTTTTCAAAGATAAGAATATTAATCGCAGATGTGCTTTTCCAATCAGTCTGAAGATATCTCTTTTGAAGTGTCATCAGTGTCACCACCATGCCACTAAAGCTGCTCTAAATTGAACTGAATGTTTTACACAAACAGACAGCACAGTTGGAATCACACAACAATAAGAAGCTTCCTTCTAAAGATCATCAACCCAATCAACTTAGTCCACAATGTCAGACAGCCAGTTATCATTTGGAACCTGACAGCTGCCATTAAAAAGTAACACATGGATATCTGCTCCACTGACGCAACTACAGGCATGCAGGGAGAGGGAGTGGGAGGGGGGTTAGAATGGGAGGAAAAGAAGGGAGGAGAGATGGGGAGTGGTGAGGGATATCCCCTCATACTAACCAACTACTTGGGTGTTTCCCTGTTTTAACAAGGCAGAGTTCAGGCATTTCAAAGAGCCGACCCCTCCTGTCCCATGCAGCGAGCCGTTTGACCCCCACTTATGACAAAAAACGTCTCCCAACTCCCAGCTGCTGCTCCCCACTACAATCCAGCCGCGTCAGGTGGCTCCCTGCGCGCCTCTCCTCTGCTGTTACAACCTCTCTCCTTCTGCTAACTCCTTTAAACAAAATAAACACTCGTATTTATGCGGTCAGACTGCACTCTTATGGAAAGAATTCTACTTTCCTAACGGCAAGGCGTGTGCAAAAAAGGACTGTGGGAAATGTGTGTTCCAACAACAGGAAATTCGTAATGTTTCCTTTGTCGGAGCAGGGATGTTCAAGGTTTGAAGTGCACTGCTTGTGCAAACGCGTAGATAATTACGCGAATGAAATGCTTCACAATGAGCTTTATATCTCAGCATTTGTTTCCCTAATAGGGGAAAGTTATTGAGGGGGAACGCTTCTGGAACAACTGTGCGCAAAAGACCTGCCTTGCGCATTTTACGCGCACATCTACACAACACCACTTTGACAGATCTGACTTATACGCGCACAGTTTCACACATTATTTCAGTCTTCTTGAGTGAATACCAGGTGGCTCCACTGAGTAAAGGGAAAGGTCAAACTGAGCAACAGGTATCCTGGTAAATGTATAGTTTCAACTGCCATAAAATAAAGGAAAAGGATAGACAAATGCTGCATGCTTGATCTCAAATACAAAGCTGAAGAGTGGTCAGCCCTCCAGGTTTGACTCACCTTGACAACGTCGTCGTTTATGTGCTTTGGGTCCCGGTTGACCAGGTCAATCTCTTTGGTGTGGACATCCTCCATCGTCTTCTCGTTAAGACTTTCGTTGTCCATGTCTTTGTTGTTAGGTTTGTATATGTTTCCTTGTTTTCGGATGAACGGCGAATGCAGAAACTCCTGTCCGGAGGAGGCAGAAAGAGAAGAGAGTGAAGAGGAGGAGGGATAGTGTGCAGCGCGCTGAGAGGGAGAGAGACTGGAGCTGCGAGTTACCAGCCTGCCCCACAAACAGGGATGGGTTTAAATGAATTGAAAGTGAAGCACCACACCCCTCGATCCAGCCGCAAGGGGTCCTCACCACCCGGAGTAGAACTCTAACACCCATAACCTGACATGGAGTTGATTCAACATGTGTCTGAAAGCAACATTTTTTAGAGGTGTGTAATAGCACATATTCAAATTTGTACATGTATTTTACTCTGAAATAGGGTTATTCTATATTTTTTTAGAAAAAACGTTGGTAATCATCTATGAATTTAATCTAAATTGTGAAAATAAGGACACAAATAGGTCCAATTTGAAAACATTGGAGGTTTTTCCGTGTCCATCGTTTTGAAAACTTTGTGCGTAATGACACCTGAAGCGCCTAAAATGCTATTCGACCCTTTCAACCACATCCTTATTTACTCTCACGATATTGTAGCTTTATAATTGGTATTAAAATGTATATACGGAATACCTTTAATAATTGACGCTAAAAACTGTTTGCTTCCATTTGCACTTTTACGCACGAACACTTTAAATGCGTAAAAAACAAAACGTTTTCCTGTTTTAGCAGGTTCAATCTCACACCCACATGCTAATGTATACTCAATGGTCCTTCACATTCCCTCAGCGTGTGTGGGAGAAGCTTTCATGACTATGTGCCAGAAATAAAGATAACGACTGAGACATTGCGCTTTGGGAATGAAGAAAACATCCAGATTTCCTTGATGAGCTCAAATTGTTAACAGCACTGCAGTTAAGAAAGCTCCGTGCCGTGTCGGCAAAAACCTGCATGCCAAAAACGAGCCAGTACGCGAGAGTTATACTGTACCTCCTCTGTGTCTCCGTCCTTCAATCCTCCTGTCATGCTGTCCTCAAGTTTGAACAGATAACAGCGGCGAAACAGTCAAGAACACAATATAGGAAGCAAAGTGGGAGGCGAACTGAGCGGACCGGGGCTCTTCTCAGGGACCTGTAGGATGAACTAATTCCTGCCCTTCTTTCTGGACGTGACTTGAATTTTATGCCAGAGCTGCGAGGGAAACCTCCGGGGTTTCCTCGGATCCCGCAGAGCACGTAGCCGCAGTTTGGGAGTCACCTGTGAGCAAGGACGGTAGAGCCACAGACGAACCTGCACGTCTGGAGGAGAGACTGACGCGATCTTACACTAAAGGGGGGGTTTAACCCGCGTGGAATAACTTTTTTCAGGGATCAAGACGGAGTATAAAAAGCTTTTTGTTCAGAGAAATGTGGGCGTTAATTGGAGATGACAAGGTGTGGATACTTGCCATACCTTAGCCTAAGGGAGACCAACTCAAACTTCTGTAAAAGAGAGCGAGACACATCAATAAAAGATACATAAATAAATATGAAAATCAGATTTTTTTTTTTAGGCCTAATGCAGTCCTTTCCTCAAACATATATAATATTGTCAGTCACCAATTTATGTCCCCTTAGAAAAACAAAGTTTATACCAGTATTGGTAAGCTTTGATAAGCCAACATATGGCAAACTGACACTCCAGCTGTTGTTCAGCTTTTCAAGGTTAGGCAACTAATGCTGGGGACTCTGGTTTGTTTACATTCTTGTATCACCTCAACTTGGAGTGACACCAGCTGACACACAGAGGTTTGCAGACAGTGTTGGTTGAAGCTGCACAGAAATAAACTAGCTGGCACAAAGTAATAATAAACTGTTTTACCATAAAAGTTACATTTTTTGTAGATTTGATAAATATAACAACATATTAGATTGTATTAAATGCTACTGGATAGGCTAAGCTTGTTGAGCATTTGATTTTGATTAACACAAGTTCTTTTATAGCTGACAGCTTGTATCTCCTTCTTGATAACAGGTACATGAGTTACTACTAATTGTTTCATTAATTAGAAACACATGCTTTACTCATCCTGTATAAAGTTATTACAATAAGTTAAGATAAGATTAAGTAGTCCTTTATTGATCCCCAGTGTGGAATTCAAGTATTGCAGCAGTAACTCCTGCATAACCAAAGGATCTGTTAATGTAATGCACAAGCTTACTGGGTAATAACGAGTGAAGGATGGATCTGAATTTTCCTTTTTTTTTCCATCAGCAGAGACGTTCAAAGACATCTCTGGATTCAGTGAATGAAAATGTAGGAGTAAGCTAACTCGCTAACGTAACCAACGATTGAGCACTGAGGCTGACGAGCCAACACTGTTCTTGAACTAATGTTAGCGTTATCTGAAACAGTGACACTCATTTTATAGTCCTAGTCTTTGGTTTAAATGTTATTCTAAAGATGGTCAGCGAGTTAGCTTGCTGTTTCTCAATGCTAAGTAGCTAAAGATTGCCAACTTGCAGCAATGTGTTGCTGTTGCATTTAGTCTATTGAAGATGCTCGTAAAGCAACAGAGAACACACAATAATCAGAGCAGAAACATCAGCACTGCAGTGGGACCACAGTGTTTGATAAAATAAAAGGTTGGGACTTCTTGCCTGCACAAACCGGCAATGTCCTAAATCACCATGGCAACAGCAGGCCCGCCTGTTTGATCTGCCTTAACCCTCCAATCATGAAAGAGACTTTGGCAGGAAATATCTGCGGCCCTCAAGCTGACAGGGTACATTTGTTGTGATTTAGCTGATAGTGAGCTTGTGATTATTGGTGATGCCGAGTGTGCGTGAGAGAGAGTGAAAACAAGTTTGCTGGTGTGTATTTGAGTCGTGCATACGAAAAAGAAACTATATTAAAACACATGAATCTGACTACAACCTGCGTCTGTTGTAGTTTTCTATTGATAACTGTAAATGTTCCAACAATCAGGTCGTACAGTGTGAGCACATAAAAAGTGAGCTCTGCATCGAAAACGATTCAGTCGTAAAGAATGTTACATTTGTTAAAGAATGACATATCTGTACTATTATTTTAAAGCAAATTTTGGATTGGTGGTTTGTATTATAAGTGTTGTTTTCTGTGATCGGTTAACAGTCAAACAAGCTAGTAGCCATTAGCTATCTCTGGCTAGTGCTGCTAATGAAACAACCTAAGTTTTTTGACACCATGTTTATGTGTATTAGATCAATCATTGTGTCATACTTGTGAAGGGGATGTTGGTGTTTCACTCATGATGTTTCTTTTCCACCTAGAATGAGGAACAAGTTTTTTTTTTTTCTCATTGGCAGAACAGTAACTGCTCGTGGGTCTGTTTGTTTCTATTACTGTAAGCCATCAAGTCAGCAGTTAAAAGAATGGTATTTATGAGTCATCAAGAAAAAACCCAACGAGAACCTGTTTCATAGGAGATGTAATTTCAGACTAAACAAACTCTCGCAGTTTCTCGCCTGAGGGCAAGCATTAGCATATTCTAAAACGTTCACTAAGACAAATATTGTTCTACATAAATGGATTCCTGAATTCAAATCTGAATTCACTTGAGGACTGTCACCATTTGAAGGTGAAAGTTTACTCTTGTTAAATGTGGGATGTAAGCAGCCAAGGCTTTGTTGTCAGATATTAAGATACAAGAACACCCTAATGGTAGAAAAAGGATCTGTAAGAATTGATGTTGAGGCAGTTTATGGGGTTTACGATGTGATGTGATAAACATGGATTTGTCAGTAAGAGCAGGGACTGAACAGGTTTGTAAACAGCTGATTACAGGGCTCATTCAGACTGGGGGATAGTGCGGGTAGAGGTAAGTGATCAAAGTGAGTGGGAAGCAAAATGAAAATGACCTTTTTGACCATTAATAACAACTTATTTCTGTAAGAATGAACAGTGGCGAAATTTAATCAGGGGCTCCTCCAACCAGTGTTCTTCACCATTATGTCTGCTCGTGTCCCAACGCTTCCTCTTCTTCCTCTTTCGTTCCTCTTTCTTTGTTCACTCCCACACAGATAATTCCTTTAGATTTTTCCGTGCCAACTTTGACAAACTTTGTTTTTCACAGCCATATGCATGTGATGCTTAGCAGAGCATGGGGAAGGAGTGCTGTAGGGAAGGTTTCCTACTGTTGTTACAAAATGTGCACATTTTGAGCCACTGCTGTGTATTAAGTTTGTCAGACCTTAGGGGCCCCCTACTGTCCTGGGGCCCCAAGCAGTTACCTGCCTTGCCTACTGACAGCCAGCGCCTCTGAGAATGAAACAAATCTCCTTTAAGATGCTGGTCAACCTTAAGTAGATTAAGATAGTTAACTTACTGAAAAAACAAACATACAGAAACAAAGCACGGCTGCTATCACTCATTAGCACACAATAGAAGGCTTCTTCAATGTGATGTCTTCTTGGATGTCTATTTACCAACAGGATGTGAAGTAACTATCACAAGGTTTCTGTGCACCACCGTGGACAACGGACTGATGGGAATCCCTGGCTGTGACAAAGGGAAGAGTACATTTCATTTATTTTATTTTACATACTTTATTAATCCTGAGGGGAAATTCTGGTTTACACTCTGTTATTAAGAGACATCCTCCACATAGGCCTGAATCACACTCATGCACTATGCTTATAAGTCTTGTATCTTATTAATATCCTTATTACATTTGTAGCAGCAAAATGTAGCCTTTAAAAAAAAATGATAGCACGCCAAACATCATAAAGGAACTCACCAAAGGAAACTCCTAGACAAGTTATTCTAATGATGCCAGTGTCTTGTAATCAGAAATGTGACAAAACCGACAGTTATAAAAAAGCAGATAAAAAATAAAAGTTAAGGCTACAGTGTAGGCTCACTATTTTGCAAGCAACAGGTCGCCGTTGCCCTTTTTATCTATCATCCCAAAACAGCATAATGAAAAAAATAGAAAGCTTTAACAACCTTGTTAATAAGGTCATTCCACTCCCGCAACCTGCAAACTAAGACAATAACATTATAAACAGTATAACAAAATACTTCCAATAGCAGCAGCAATACTATAAGAAGCCTTAACGGTACATTTCACAGCAGTTGTATTCCCAGCTGCCGTAGTGTTTGCACAGCAGTGACAGTGTTACTATATACAGCAGCAGCAGTGTTGATAGTTCTATCAGTGGTACAGAAACAGTCGCAGTGTCATTATTACTGTAAGCCCTTGTAAAGTACTGTTTGCTCAACGGTCTGGAGGAAGGCCAGAGTTCAAAGGTTTAGCTGCAGGACATCAAGTGTCTGTGGTCTGTGTTTTTAGCATCAGGAGGGTGCGGAGTTGCTCTATATCATTAATTAATCAAATTATCATTAAATTGGGCTAAGTTTTAGAGTTTTCTTATAAAATAATTTAAAGGCTGACATTTGTAGCTAAAACATGACACATAACAATCGTCAAATAAAAGCAAAATGTGACAAAGTTGATAATCCAAAAATGTCACACATTTGTTTTAGGGTTGTTGTGATTGGCTTGTTTTATTGCTGAAACTTAATGTCAGGAAGCATCGCAAGTCAAGGTGCTGAGACCTACAGAGCACAGCGGCATACCGAAAATAGTTTGAACAAATATTTTTTTTATTCTAAAACAAGAGTCGATGACAGTTTACAGTTGATGTTTGGGTTTTGACATAGGTTTGAAAATATGAAGCCAGAAATTGACCATTCAGGCAGTGCGTTCTGCTAGTTGTGTGCTGTTTACGGCTATGCAAAGATTAAAACAGAAAGAAAGAAAAATAAATTGTATTACAGATTTCCTGTCGTGATGCTTTTGAGTTCTTGTATGATGCACTTTGAATTGCCTTGTTGCTGAAATGTGCTATATGAATTAACTTGCCATACTCTTGCAAGATGCTCAATTAAGAGAACAAGATACATCCTTGCATTTAGATCTTAACAACCCTGAGGTTACTAGCTGATATTTAGTGGGAAGGGAAATGCATCAAGGATCCCCATTAGTTGCTACGACAGCAGCAATCAGTCTTCCTAGATACCACCCATATGACAAGAATATATAGGATTTTACAATCAAGAGACAACAATAAGGGTAACAGTCGTGGTGAATAGTAGTTTCAAAGGTGTTGTGTAGCACTTTTCAAAAAAAGAGAAAAGATTCTAGCTAACTTTAAAAAAAAGATGCAAAACCCTGGTGTTGAATAAATGTTCTTTGAGGAGAGATGCAGGTGTAACGGCTAGAAATGCTGCTCAGGCCTGCAGGTCTCAGACCGCAGCCTCAGGTCATGTTCCATCAGCCCACAGCTGGGCTGTGTATAGGAAAGATCCTCATGCAATCTCAGCAAAGTGATTTACGATACCTCTCTGACACTCAGTTATCCCAACCACATTGATCTTCTTGTGGAAAGAAGAAACCACACACAGAAAAATAACTTTGCAGAAAACATCTCTTTATTTGGTCATGAAGGGCATATTTGGCTTATTAATGCAAAGATTAAAATATGATAATATGAAAAAACAGAGTGAAAATCTACTAACAGATGCATCTCACATTATGATTTATTTGTTTGAAGTGGGTTTATAACTTTTGAACTAATATCTGGGTGGAGCTGGGGTTGATTATTGCAACATGTCAATGCTAAGGGGGGTGAAAAAGTTACTCATGCACCTGTGTCCTCCACTACTGCACAACCCTAACTTTGAATTTCCCCTGACAATTAAAACACAAGCATGTTGGCTGTCAGTTTGTCAGAGATCAGCCCAAAATCAGACCCTTTCCTAATCAAAGTGGTGCCTGAATCTAACAAAAATGGTTGCACTTTGGGGGCGCAGAAGGCCTAGCATTTAGGTTGCGGCCTAGGTTCCACCTTGGCTCCTTTCCTGCATGTCATTCCCCTATGTCCCTCCCTGGTTAATACGTATCCTCTAGAATAAATATTTTAAAAGGAAAAAATGGTTGCACTTTGTTCATATTTTGGCACCAAAACAACTTTCTTAGGTTTGGAAATGAATACAGAACACAGCAGTTCTAAGAAAGAGTAAAGTCAAGGTCTGTTTTTAACATAACTTAAATGGGTTTTGACGTTTGGTCTTTAATCAGCCTCTTGTCTCCTAGTCACAAGGGACGTGTTTGTTTGACCTATCCATAACTCTAACCTCCATCCTAATGGACTTGGCTTGAACGACACATAACTCCAAATGAAAACACATTTGATTTAAATTATTGCCGCTCATCAGCCAAAGCTGCAACTCAACTGGTTTCAGTTCACTGCACTTTTGGTATATGGTTGACTAGCATCATCAACCCTGTTCAAAGAGCCAGCAGGCTGCTGTTCTCAGAGGTTGACAGCTACCTGCTAATTAAGGTGGCACATGTGGTAGCTAAGCATCGAAAGGTTTTTCTAAGAAGTGAAAGAATGGCGGTAATGACAGCTAATGTTATGAGTGTCTGCTGGATGTTATGATAAGCAACCGCTTGTGAACATTTTTTATGTTTATTTAGTTTGGTTTTCACTTCTTAAAACTTGACTGAACAGAAGAAAAGCTGAAATCTCTGCAAGGGTTGTACCTTATGCTCGACTTTGTAAAATCCACCGCAATAAAAGGTTCAAGCTTATGTTTTTGTCTGATTCTTTCTGGCTGTAGAAGTCGTCAAAGCCCAATCAACTGACTAGCAGTGCTGTAGCAAACACAAGCACCTTTAACTTAAATATGCATGTACTGGAGTCGCAGCTCAACCAAAGCTTTAACCAATACAGTACAAAGTGTGGTAGGCTCAACCTACTACTGTCAGAGAAAGTCAAATATCCATGTCTTCCAATCAAGAATCAGATGCTACAAAAATAATTAATTAGAAAGCCCAACCTCCTGATAAAATGGAATACACTTTTAGTTCAATAACATTTCAAACAACTCATATTTCAGGTCTATATAAAAAGCAAATGCTCAATAGTCTTGCCATAGCACTGTGAAATCTGCACAGCGGTTACAGTAAATAAGCTTGAAAATGTGCAACAAGCTGCATCTTAGCATTTAGAAGTCATACTGCATCACTATCTACTCATTACATTCATCTTGTAGCTGAAGGTTTAGCAATATATACAATATATATAAAAAAAAGCAGAAATTTTACATCTTTCAGCAAGTCAGCAGTACGTTTGCCTTATTAACGACTGAGTCTACATCTCTCAGCCACAAAATATTGGAATGACAAGTTTTCATTATGTTCATAGTAATCAGTCCTAAATAGTATCAAACCATTCACTGCTAATAACGATGTCAGTAACAAAAGGATGCATTAACGGATGGCATGGATGTGTTGATTTGCAAGTGAAAAGAAATTTAGTCACCCGAGTTGAGATGGGGGTAAATTTGATTAAAGGATCCAATGTAATGGCTGTGTTTCTTTCACCAAAGCATTGAAATATAGGTTATGCACATATTTATAGGTCCTTCACTTTTCCCCTACTGTAGCTCTGCTTTCAAGATGTCTTTTCCCTGCAAATGATCATATCCATGCCTCTTGTTGCATTTTCTTCCGTCCTACATTTCTTCCTCCAAGGGGACAGAAAAGCGGTCTGTATCAGTTCTCGATGGTCTTCACTTGAACAGAGGACAGGATTTTCCCCATACTGTGGAATAGTGGCGTTATGAACATGTCTGTCAGACTCCTCCACACCACCTGAATTGAGGGTAAGAGCATCAAGAAGCACTGGATCACTGGCATCACCAACCTGGAAGGGCAAAGGGAAATGGTTAGCTTAGCACAGCAGCTCAGAGAGGATATGTCTTGTAAGTGAGATTATAGAAACATACAGGCCATTGTTTGATAAGTTAGATTCTGCTGGCAGATGATAAGTGCTGAAAATGTATTTATTTGGATTCTGAACCATTAGAGCAAATTATGTTGTAAGTTTTTTTCATATTTGCAAGTTCAGTCTTATTAACTTGACACCAATTGCTAATGCTAATTCATCATTAGCAACTGCTGGCTGTCAGACATAGAACTGTCCTTGCGCCTGAAGAAGGAAAAAAACTACATTCTCATCTCATCCCTAATATCAATGTTCAAAGGGTTTTGTTATCACCGACTGTAACAGATTGAGTTTATCAGCAGGGAGAAATAATGCTCAGAGCCAGCCCTTTAACTCCAAACTCCAGCGAGCTGACATGAAACAGCCGTTCCACATATGAGTAACCGATCCAATAAGCATCACTGCAGTGACGTAAATTTGTTCATTATTTGTTTTAAATGGGGATTGAATCTTTCCGCCTGGATGAAACACTTTTTTATCCCCAAGTGCCACTCTGTTTCAACTGTTTGGCACCTGTGCTGTCTTTAATCCTTTTTTCTTTAAAATAATTTACGCAAAAGAAAATACAACCTAATTCAAACCATAGTAAGGATTGCATAACACAGACATTTTAGATTTTTTGCTCATTTTCTGTAACTGTATTTTAATTTGATGTCAAATATACATACATATTAATAGATACATCTAGTTTTAAAATGATACCATCATCCTTGTTTAAGGATTGCAATTGTGAGCAAAGAGAGAGAGAGAGAGAGAGAGAGAGAGAGAGAGAGAGAGAGAGAGCACAGTCTGAATAGCACATATAACTGTATGTTAGCAGTCCGCAGGACTTGAATATTTGTTGCGGTGGTATGGAAACAGGTATCAATATATTTTGATCTTTACAAATGTGGTATTGTGACAACCCTATTTAGATATTTCAGTTATTTCTATCAATGATTGCTATTGTCTCATCTGTTATGTGGTTTTATTCCTCTGTTGTAAAAAAAAAGTATTGTTACTTTTATGCAGCCTGTGACCTCCACTCTAATGTATTCTACCCCAAATAAAACAGTGAGTTGTACATGCTGTGCTCTCCTTTGAAGCAGCATCCCTCTATGATCTACCTTCCTGACATTCCTCATGTATTGAGCAGCTCAGCGTCACCACTGAGTACCTCTATTGATGAATACCTGCACTGACTTCCTCCTTCAAATGCTTCTGTTGAGGGAATCATCCGGACCTTGTGACCTTACCTAAGGTCAAAGATCACATGGAAGTAACTCTACAGCTCTCAGTCTGCTTATGAAAAATGTCACACTCTGGTCTGCAAACAGGCCTGAGAAGCTGTTAGAATGCAGCTAACTTTGCAAAGGGCATGGGGCGTTTTTTTTATTTTCCACCACCAGTGGAACAAAATATTCCTCCTAACTTTCCATACAGCACTTTCTTCATCGCATCAAAATGTCGTTCCGTCAAGTGTTAATAAATGGACTCTTTGGGTTGTGGAACATGTGCATTCATTGAATGATCAGCTCCCCCCCAAAAAATGGAGGCACCTGGTTAAGCTTGCTGCAGGCGCATATAGCTGACATAAGTATGACATAATTATCCAAATATAAGTTAAAAAAAACAAAACGCTGACAAAATGTTTTAAACTCATATGACGCTAACTGTAAAAATAACTTGAGTCAATGTTTGCCTTAAGGGCCAGAAAAAGTATGCTGGCAATTAGCTGTGGCCCCTGAGGGAAAGTCCCACACTGTAGTGTTCCTGAAATGTTCCCACAGGGACATGACTTGGGATTTTGATACCTAAAACAAAAAAGTTGAAAGTGCTATTATTAGACTTTAACAGGATTTAAAGGGGTTTGTATCCTTATCATAGTTATTTAATCTGATATGCTGAATACATACTGAAAGTTTAAACGTGTTTGCAACACTGACTTGCCTTCATCTATATCTGAGGCTCATTGCATCACTTTAATATTAAGATGAAATATTATTATTATTTAGTTTTGGAGGTATTTGGTACTGTTCCAGGCTCAAATAACACCACCAAACCGAAACCTGCAGGTTGAAAGGAATATTCTCCCTACCAGATGTGAATGCAGCTGAGCACCCCGAACACCACGCCGAGGACGAAAGCCATGGGCACGGCCAGCAGCGTGCTCAGCAGCCGGTAGAAGATGAATTTGACCAGCTCGAAGACAGCGTGGCTTCCTATCCACACTCTGTCGAAGCTGTGTGCGGAGATGGGCTCGGCGATGACATCTTCAAAGCCGAGCTGTCAGATCAAACACACGGGGACACGCAATGAGCTGCAATAATAACAACGATGGAGTGAAGCGCAGACAGGCAGCCAGGCAGCGACTTCCAGGTATTCATGCTGCCGAGTGCCAATTTCACCCTTTTAGGTCACAAAAACAATACGAAAAAGTTACTCTGTCACTTTACAAAACACAACCTGGCAACCGCTGGTGTGTGTGGTTTCACTTTTAAACAGTAATTCCGCTCTATGTTCAGACCTACCTTCAAGTGCGCGTTGATGTCGTTTGGATCTCGGTCCGGCTCCGCTGTGTAAACTTTCCCCTTCTTCGACAGGATCGGTTCTATCGATCTGTTGAACTCATCTTCGTCCATAATTATGCTGGTGTCCAGTTTCTCCTTTTCCAGACCCATGTTGTTCAGTCAGTCGGTGCAGGGAGAGCGGCTGGTGACGGTGCGCTCTGCTCTGTGCGCCGGACCGCGCGTCACCCCGCCCCGTATGGAAAACAGCGCAGCGTGGGGCCGAGGAGACACAACAAGCTCAAAGTCACTTCCCCAGACCAGTGCACGAGCTCAGTGATGACTGATACTACTGTGCAGCATAAAGGCCTCCAGTCAGGAGCCATGGAGACCCAAGAGTCTTCAGCTGAACACACCAGTCCTCTTCAGCCGTGTGATTGAGCATGATCCCTTCATCCTGCAGGCGGTCTTGACTTTTCGAATTTCTAAGTGTTTTAGAAAACGTATCCACTTATACTTCCCCCTAAGGTTGTGTTTGGGAGAAAATCAGCCAAATTTGTATTTTCTCAACACGTTTAAACAACAGCTGACTGTAATTATTGTGGCAGAATATAAACACATCACTTATTCATTTGACCTGTTGAGTTGATTAACCGCACATATTCTTTTTCCTCTGTGAGGATTTGTTACTTTCTGGCTGTGTCATGCTCTGAACACAGCAGCCAACATAGTTAGAATAACTGCAGCGCCTCAGATGTCTAAACAGGAACACCAACAGAGAGGCTTTTTCCTCACACAGCCGCTGTTTACCATGGAGATCAGTTTGTTTCTGACCTCATACAAGCACTCTGCAACTTATCTATCTTCCTGCTATTAGAGTTCCTGGAGGTATTTTGGAGATAATTTTTTTGGTTCCCTTTTTTTTTTTTTTTTTTAACAGAACCGAAGAATCAAACCCATATATTGCTGTGAGATAAACTTCTCTGGAAAGCGCAACATTTCCCTCCAGAAATAAATAAGTCTGACATAAAAAAAAGTTAAAAATACAGTTGTTCTTCCTGATGCTTGTTCATAGGAAGTACAGCACTTAAGTAGACCACACCTGTTGTTTCCCTATTGGATGAAAGTAAATTGCTTTGGGAAACTTTGTGGAATAATCAGATATGTTATCAGCAACTGCTGAAGTAAAGGGGTGAAGTGGAAAATGTTATTTTTTTCAACTTAAGGAAAAAATTACCAAATTTACACAGATTTACTATAATTAGGTATCTAGGAAGTGCAACTCTGTCTCTGCAAAATGTTAGCCTCACTAAACAGCCAACTTGCCTGCGGTCCTCGGCTCTTTGCATCTCATTTGTTGATGCGGCAGCTTTAGCATCCTGCCTTTTGATGGGCAACATGTAAACAACACCCTCCTTTGTTTAGACACCAGGGTCTGGACAGGACGTGCAGGGACAAAAAAAGTAGGTCAGGACTGTGAGTGACAGCAAAGCAGAAACACAGAGAGAGAGAGGCAGAGCAGAGGGGTGACAATACAACCCTATAAACTCCTGGATTAACACACAGAGCCGTTCTGACAGAAAAGCATTTAGTGAGGGAGGGGAGACCTGGCTGGCTGGCTGGCTGGCTGGCTGGCTGGCTGGCTGGTCTGAGGGTGAGGCGGGGACAGAGGACTGTGTTGACATGAGAGAATGTGAATGTGTGAAAGAGAGACTATAGCAGAGGAAGTTATTGCCTTTGGTTTGTGTAACAGTTTTGGATGCCAGTGGTGCCATGAGTTAATAATAAGATCTTTGCTCAGGCATTTGTAGAGCCTTACAAGGATGCAGATGTTGGCCAATCAAGTCCATCCAAATGTTTAGGCCAGATGGAAAGTATTAGCAAATTGTGGCAAAATTGACAAGAAACTTGGGACAGAAATAGAGTAATTCTTGAGGAGAAAAACCGATGATTCTTGTGATCTTCATAGAATTTTCTCAGGACAAAAGCTACATGTCCAATGCAGGAACTTTCCCCAGGGACTATAGGAACTTTGGGAGGAAATCAATTATTCCCTAAAGAGTCCTACAAGAGGGGAAGTACTGTCTGAAAGTGCAGGGACCATGGATTGGTGCATAGAGCGAAACGTTTCTGATGCATTGTGCTCAAAATAACTTAAAAAAACATGACAGTAATTGCTATTTCAGGGATTAAGCAGATAGGAACGTTTGTGCCACGTAATCTTGCTTAATTCAAGAAAAAAACGAGCTAAAAAATAAGATCGGGGTAAATGTGCATTTTATTGAAAAAAATCCATGGAGATGGAGTCCATGGGTGGAAATACCAGGGGAGGGGAGGGTATTTTTTTAACTAGAATCCCACTGTGACATCACAAGGAGAGCAAATTTGAAACGGAGCATTTTTCAACCAAATGACAGGATGGGTTTATTTCACATTTTGTGGGTCGGTAGACATGCAGGTTACCCAAATATATGTTCAAAAACATAAATGTCGCCTTTTAGACATTTCCTTGACAACTATGATAAGCAAATATTGGCCAGATAGACTGTAGGCCACCTGTGTGCAACTTTATGTAACATTTGTATTAACATTTTTCTGCACAATGGCCTGTAACTTTTATATTCTTCCCATTTTTTGCCTTACTTATTATCCCTTTTAATGGAACAGATGTCCTTTTGCAAGAGTCAAACTCTGCTGCAGCTCCACTCTGGTCACCGGCTGACCTTCATCTGGCCTGGGAGCTTCTCAATCCACAGGTGAAAATGTAATTAATGCACCCAACAGCCACATTCCAGGACATCCCGGCCTTCATTTCCCGTGAGACTTTAAGTCCCAATGTGTGGAATGTTTCCTCTGATTTCATGGGGAACAAATGTGTATTCTTCCAGGAGTTTCCAGGGGGAACAATGATATCAGCGCACTTGCAGCACACACTGGGATTTCCTGTTACACCCGAAGGACCCTCATGTCTGTGCGATGAAACACACATTACCCAGAGGAACATGAGGGTGTCTTACTGTACGCCTTGTGAATGTGCTTCCATTCATTTTTGTATCTGGACGTATGTGTGTAGGTGAAAGGAAACTCCTGGACTTTCCTTCACTCTCTGTCTCAGGACATGCTTTTGCATTCTAATACTTAAAGCAACAATATGTAACTTTTCACATGAAAACAGTTTGCAGACAATGAGCTGAAGACTGTGCTGAGTTATATGTGCAAAATCCAGTAATATTACTGTAGCCTGTCAGTCGACATGGTTGTCTTGCTTATTAACGATGTCTTTTCTGGATATGCAACATCTGCCTGGAAAAAATAGGGAAGCTGTCTAAGAGGTGGAGGCGTAACAGCACTATGTGTGTATCTTACGACAGAGCAGTTGCACTCAGGGATGTTTGGTGGGCGCCAAAGTGCACCAAACCAAATTACATATTGTTCCTTTAAATGTATTCAGAAAGGTCCGACTTAGTCTTATTTAATGATTCAATAGTTTCACATAAATAAATAGAGAAGAACAAAAGAAAAGAGGTTGTTTTGTCTTGGAAAACAGCCACTACAGTTTGTAACATTTATTGTTTTTATAAATGGCTGTTATCTACGGTTATCTCAAGCATCTATTTCCCAGACTATGATGGAAACACTTCTTGTGATTTATTTACTGAAGAAATTCCAGTTAAATCACTAAAATATTAACGTCATCAAAATTTTTGTCTGTAATGCAGCACAGATTTTACTCATATTCAAGCCAAACCAGAAGTTCTGTGTGTGAAAACATGTGATGAATGAGACCCAGATTGTGTAGACGCAAGTCTGAAATTCCCAGCACTGTGAAAAATGAATACACAGCAGCACTTACAATTTGTCTGCTTGAAAGCTTTCAGATGATGTAGCAGGTTAGTCGAACAGAGCTGCAAAGGTCACAAATAAAGGTGAAAACATGAAGGCAGAGCCTGTGTGATGGTCTGTGTATGTGTCTTGTGTATTATTCTCAGTCTGTTTCATTACAAAAAAAAATCCTTATGGTAGATTTACTTAAAATACCACAAACTAAAAACTTGCACTCAACTACTGAGAGTAGTAATTACTAATCTGCCAGTAAAACTAGCAGAGAATTTTTTTGAGTGTCTGTACATTTTAGAAGACTAATAACACAATTTGCCTTTTATGAATTAAAAGTTTAAAAAACTTGTGCATTTCATATAAGTACTGCTTTGCAAAGACTGAACACATTTAATCATCAACAGATTCAGAATGACTGTATGTGTATGGTTATATTGCAAGTATTTTAATTTTTTGTGTCATTAAGAACATGTTTTAAACCAATACTTACCAGCAACATGAATGTTTTTAGAACATAAAGAATATTGAACAAATTGTTGCTGCATACTGTTAGATCATATCTCATGACATACTTCCATCATGCTTCTAACTATGCCCTAACTTGTCTTCTAATAAAAATGTGCTCTGCAGTATATTTATCTTTACCCCTGTCGTGTTTGTATGAGGTTGTCTCTAAAACGTAAATTCTGCCATGATTCTGTTTGTTAGTGTGTGCAGAGCGGTATGTTCTGTGTGTATTTATGTCTGTCAGCTCAGGATTGAGCAGGAGTCAAACCTCTACCCCGAGGGTCACAGGTTTAAATCCAGCTAAGGGAGTAATCTGCAGTTCTTGCTGCCTATATGTTTATCGAGTATGCATCTTATTTTGGGGGGGGTTTTCGTGCAGGAGAAGGCAGACTAAACCAGCCTGATGTCTGGCATAACCAAGGGCTATTTTCTCTTTAGAGTTGTCGTCTCTGAGTGACTCATTCAAAATTCTTTCCAGTAATAAGGAATATTGCTTTCTGGCACAGAGCAGCTGGTAAAGAAATGGGTCTATTAAATAAAGAAAATGACCCACAGGCTAACTCAAAGCAAGGCCTTGTGTCCATCAGAGAGAAATGAACAATCAACTTTATCTTGGACTTAAACAGAAGAAGTAATAATGGATACAAAAGAACAGAAGCACACACTTGTGAAGAATGTACTAATATGCATATAGACAACAATATAATTTGCACAGGCCTGTAATAAGTCCAAACATTTGCATAGAATATGAGGTGTTGGTTTACTACTTTTCAAGAAAGAAACAACCGTCTCCTGTTATTCCTGGCGAGTTTACAAGTAATAACTACAATCATAAACCTGTCGAGTTGTGTCTCTTCATTAGGGCTGGTGTTATTGTCCTCATACACGCCTCACAGGCAGAAACTAAGACACGCCCCCCTCATCACCCCCAGGTAAGGTAACCTGAGGAAAGAGGACGCCCATCTTTATTGAGGCACATGAATACTGTACCTGCAGGCAAACTACATTAAAGTCAGGTAGAATTTCAGAGTGCAATTCACATTTTTAACACAACAGTGTTTAATAGGAGATCGCTGCCTACGCCTA